TCTTGACTCCCTACTTTAGCATTCCAGTCCCCTAGAATGAGAAGAACATCTTTCTTTGGTGTCAGTTCTAGAAGGTGTTGTAAATCTTCATAAAATTGTTCAATTTCAGTCTCCTCAACAATGGTGGTTGGTGCATAAACTTGGATTATTGTGATCTTGAAAGGTCTGCCTTGGATTCGTATTGACATCATTCTATCATTTTTGAGATTGTACTGTATCCTATTACAGCTTTTCCCACTCTTTTGTTGACTATGAAGGCTACTCCATTCCTTCTACGGGATTCTTGCTCACAGTAGTAGATACGATAATCGTCTGAATTGAATGTGCCCATTCCCATCCATTTTAGTTCACTGATGCCCAGGATGTCAATGTTTATTCTTGCCATCTCCTGTTTGACCACCTCCGGCTTCCCAAGGTTCATAGATCTTACATTCCAGGTTCCTATGCAGTATTTTGCTTTGCAGCATCAGACTGTCCTTTCACTTCCAGGTGTGTGTCCACAGCTGAGCGTCCTTTCAGCTTTGGCCCTACCACCTCATTAGCTCTGGGGTTACTTGTACTTGTCCTCCACTCTTCCTCAGTAGCATGTTGGACGCCTTCCAACCTGAGGGGACCATCTTCTAGTGTCATATCTTTTAGCCTTTTGCTTCTGATCATGGGGCATTCTTGGCAAAGATACTGGAGTGGCATTGCCATTTCCTACTCCAGGTGGATTGCGTTTAGTCGGAACCCTCCACTATGTCCTGTCCGTCTCGGGTGTCCCTGCACGGCATAGCCCATAGTTTCTCTGAGTTACTCAAGCCCCTTCACCACGACAAGGCAGCAATCCATGAAGGAGGGAGCAACAGTAGCCCTTCAGATACTTTTGGATTGCCATCGAGCATAGTCGTTAGGGCAGATGTGAGCTAAAAACGTCTGGAGGGCCACAGTTGGCCACCCTTGCTGTGGACTTGAGCTGAACTCCCAAGTCCTTCCCAAAGGTATGTTTCAAATTGAACGAGGTCTGTAAGCTGTAAACGCTCCTTTTGGGGCCGCCGAGTGTTTAGAAATGTTTACAAAGGGCCGAACGAACCGGGAAGGACCTCTGCGGGGGGGGGCCCTCCGTGCGTAGCGAAAATGATTTAAGAAAACGAGACAGAAGGGGAAAGCGACGTGCAACGAGGCTTCCCCCGCTGAGGGGAAGCCGCTTTACAGAAACCCACTCTAACCCCCCTTTAGCGGGTAACATAACCGTGGTCTCCCTTATGCCAAACACAAAGCAATGCATTTAAACAACGACAGCAGAGCACACAACCTCCCCTCCCCCACGCCTTTTTATAAAACGTCACTTCATCCTGAGAGTGCCTGATCCAGCTGCCCTACGGAACGCTCGCCCCCAGTTTCTAACGTGAAGTACCTTCGGCTCCTGTCTGAACAAAGGGAGGGGGGTGTTCTGCGCTCCCCTTCCACGTGACACCTTACTTTTTTTCCTCCAATAAGAGAAATACTGAGTGTCCCGTATCACGTGAGAGGGGCGCCGATGGCCGAATAGAGGAAGACCTTCCGGCCGGTGGGAGGGGGGGGAGAGAGAGGGCTAAAGGCGGGGGTGTCCTGTCCTGTTGCTGAGGCCGCCAGTGAAAGAAAGGAAAAGGGGGCTCTTGTTGAAGGGGACGGGGCGGCCCGGCCTGGAGGACCTTCGGCCCGGCTTCGAGCGGGAATCGGCGCGCTGAGGGGCGCCAGGCGCCATGTCCATGGAGGACCCCTTCTTTGTGGTGAAAGGGTGGGTGAGGGGAAACGGTCGGTAACGAAGGCGGGCAGAAGCAAAGAGGGCGCCGGAGATGGCGGGGCGGGGGAGGGGGATGCCCAAGGCTTGTATTCTTTCTGAAGTGGCCGATCCGTGTCTCGACTGTACCCGTGAATCCTCGTATCGGCGCGCCAGGCGGCCGAGACTCACGTCATGCAAAACGGCGGGTTTGCGGCTTGGGCGGCGTGGTTTTCATCCCAGCGCTTCCCGCCTAGTGGTTTCTCACGGCTTCCTCCTCCTGAACACCCCGAACGAGCCCTTTCCCCCTCGCCCGGCCTTTCTTTGCTAATCGAGCACGTCGAGAGGAACGCTTTAAGGGCAGCCTTGTTCGTCCTTTTCCCCTCGGCAGGGTTTCTTTGCATGCAAGTTGGTTTATGCTTAGGAAGGTGGCCGGGAAATCTGTAAGCACACACCACCCGTGGCCTTAGATATGGAAAGATCTCTCAGGTCTGCCACTTGCTTTTTGCATAATAGGGAGACCGTGTTTGAGAGTCGGAGCACCGGCCTGACCTCTTCCCCAGCTATTTGGTGCCTGTGCTGCAAGATCTTTGGTGGTGGGGACTGGTCCCAGGGCAGGGAGCCCCGGGTCCTGAGGAGCATAGAAAGGTGCTCAGGACGCCGCCAGGCAAGTCCTGCCTCTTCACAGGACCCTGTGTCATCTTGTACTCCTAGGTGGCCAGGATTTAATAATACGTAATCTTAATTCTCAGGAGGTGTGATAAATCCCATCAATAAAAAAAATTACTTGAGTGGTATGTAATAATTTGTATTCAATTTTTTATTCTATTTAATGGGGATTAAAGGTAAAGGTTCCCCTTGACAATTATTGTCCGTTGTGTTCGACTCTAAGGGGTGGTGCTCATCCCCGTTTCCAAGCCATAGAGCCAGCGTTTTGTCCGAAGACAATCTTCCATGGTCATATGGCCCGTGCGACTTAGACACGGAACGCTGTTACCTTCCCACCGAGGTGGTTCCTATTTATCTACTCCCATTTGCATGCTTTCGAACCGCTAGGTTGGCAGGAGCTGGGACAAGCGACGGGCGCTCACTCCGTCGTGTGGATTCGATCTTACGACTGCTTGGTCTTCTGACCCTGCAGCACAGGCTTCTGCGGCTTAGCCCACAGCGCCACCACGTCCCTTAATGGGGATTATAGGGAAGGGAATTTAGGGTTGGGCGGGTAGGTATGGATAGAGAAAAGGGAGAATTCCAGAGAGTGAGATAGTACATTTACATCAACTTGTACACTTATACTGCAAAGAAAGATAAAAAGAAATGAGCAGATTTTCCCAGTATTGCTATAGTAATTCCTTAATTAGACCTTCACATTCTTCTTTAATCTATGCTTTCCAAGCTATCTTTCAAGTCTAATTATGGAATTATTACTTCTGTTTCCTCCAACTCCAGGACTTCCCATGTCTTTCCTGTCAGGTCTTCTCAGGCCAGGAAATCAGTTTTCTTCTTTTATTTTCCATCTAATAACTGTAAAGATTACATCTATTATCAAATATCTCAAGTCTGCTATTGAATAAAAAGAACAAATTCAATTTAAATGTCATGTGGAACAGAATATTTTTCATACTTTAATACAAAAGTCTCCAGTCTGCGGCCCGGTGCTGGTCTGCGGCCTGAGCTGGACTGGGCCATAGAAACAGACCCTCCCCCACCCCGCCCGCACTCCTCCCCACACAGCTCCTTTGGGCATGCATGCGCGCGCCTGCACGAGCACTCCCCCACCCCTTAATGCATGCGCATGAGTGCCCCTGAGCAACCTTTGCGCATGCGCAAGAGTGCCCGCATGAGCACCCGCTCCTTCGCGCATGCACACGAGCGCAAGAGAGAGCATCTGCTCCTTCATACATGTGCACGAGCACGGGGTGGTCCCCACCTTCCCCAACCGGTCTGTGGGGTTAAAAAGGTTGGGGACCGCTGCTTTAATACACTTACAGTATTTCCCTATATGTCTATCAAACATAATATACATGTTTTTTACATTTCCCATACTATTTAAAAGCATTTTTATTCCCTTTTTTTGCATCTTATCTATATTTTCTTTAGTAGTTACTGATTTTTGGACATTAATATTTGTCCACCATTTTATACCTATTTTATCCTAGTCTTTAACCACTTCATTTTTCACTTTCATGTTTTATTCATTTAATCCAATGGTTCTCAGCCTTGGGTCCCCAGATGTTCCAGGACTAAAACTCACAGAAGCTTTCACCACTAGTTGTGTTGGCTAGGATTTCTGGGAGTTGTCGTCCAAGAACATTTGGGGACCCAAGGTTGAGAACCACTGATTTAGTCCGTCTTTATTATTGTGATTTTCTTTCTTCCTACTGGATTTCCTTGTTTCTATAGTGAGTTTTCCTTTGAAGGTTCTCGCTCTTCTGCTCTAGTCGAGTTTCTTTCAGCTTCAGATCCTGATAATCCACTTGATTTCTCCTCTTCTCATTCCTCATCTATTTTTCCCTTCTTTTCTGCCCAGCTATTTTCCCTTTATTTTCATAAAATCTTATGCTTTCATCGTTGAATTAATATAATAACTCTGTTCCTGGAATTCAAAGAGGACACTTCAGGCACCCACCACTTATACATACAGTGGTGCCCTGCATGACAATGATAATCCATCCCATAGAAATCGCTGTTTAGCGAAATCATTGTCATGCGAAAACCATTTCCCCATTGGAATGCATTGAAACCCATTTAATGCATTCCATTGGGGAAAATACCTTGTCGTTTTGCGAAGATTGCCCATAGGGCAGCCATTTTGCGAGGTGCTGATCAGCTGTTAAAATGGCTGCCCTGCGAAGCATGGGTCCGGAAAACATAGAGCAGCTGTTTTGCGAAGCCGCTGATCAGCAGCCATTTTGCGAAGTCGCCGACCAGCTGTAGAAATTGTCGTCTTGTGGATAAACGGTCTGTGAAGCACGGACCAAATCACCGTGAAGCGAAAATCGCCCATTGGAATGACTGTTTTGCGAATCGCTATAGTGATCTTTAAAAATCATCATTATGCGGATTCGTCTTTTAGCGGGGTCGTCGTCTAACGAGGTACCACTGTAATTGAGTTTGTACTCAAGAAGGATGTGAGCTCCACATATTTTCTTTTCTGTCTTATTCGCCATGGAATATGTTTCAAGATCTTAATTTCTTTATATTTTCTATTAAGTCCCTTGTCTTGTATATTTCTTAGGACTTTATCTTGAGATCTGTTTTGTAAATTTAACATGAATTTATCTGGGGAGATTTTTATTCATGTTGTATGCTTAATTCTTCCAGCTGTATCTATATTTTATTGAACATCCTCTGGTCGTATCTCCTTGAGGGATACTAGATAAGTAGTAATCATTTGCATTGTATCTTCTCCTTTTTGTTCTGGTAGATTCTGGAATCTAAGTATGGCATTGGCTCTTTCCATTTGTAGATTTAAAAGAGTGATTTAATTTTGCTTTCTTTCCCTTTCTAGCTTTTCCATCTCTGTATTCAAAATCTTCAGTCTTCCTTCTGTTGTTTTTGATGTCTCATCTATTCTATTTATTTTTTATTTTCTTTCGGCAAGATCTGCCCCATATTATTCATTTTACTCATTTACTTTCTGTTTGTTACAAAACTTTTGTTTTCCACCATTCATAGAATAGGTTCCAGCTTTCATAATAAATTGATTTTTCTTGCCCTTTTAGTCTCTTTGTTAGTCTGTCCATTTCTGCACATTCTAATAATGTTAGCTTAAGATTTTTAGTCCACATTTGTTGCCATTTTTCAAGCTCTACTATATCCAATTTTTTGACCATTTTAACATTGTCTCCTTAATCTCTTCATCTTGAGTGTCCCATTGCAATAAAAATTTATATACTTTTGGAATTCATTGTTTTTCTGTAGTAATTAATATTTTATCAAGTGTTGTATACTGTCTATAAAATCCTCATGTTTTTTTTCCTGATTATAGATTGACTGTAGTTGCAATTGGGGCCACCATGAAAAAATCAGTCCTTGGCTCTCTAGTTGATTTTTTGTTTTTAATAGTCCTTCCTCATTTAAGAGCTCATTGTATGTCGTTATTTTCTCAAAATGTAATCAGTTTGGGTGAGTGAATGCTTCCATTGATGAGATATATCTAGGGCTTTTCATGTACAGTGCTGCCCCGCATAGCGACAATAATCCGTTCTGAAAAAATCGTCGCTATACGGATTCGTCGCTATGCGGGGCAAAAAAGCCCATAGGAACACATTAAAACACGTTTAATGCGTTCATATGGGGGGAAAACTCACCTTTAAGTGAAAATCCTTTATCCGGCCACCATTTTCGCTGCCCGGTAAGTGAGGAAAGGGTGCGAAAACACTGAGGGCAGCCATTTTATTTACCCGGCGGCCATTTTGGAACCGCCGGTCAGCTGTTTTTAAAACATCGTTATGCGATAATCGGTAAGCGAAACGTTTACCGATCATCACAAAGCGATGTTTTGCCACCAAAAACCTTTTGCCATCAAAAACCTCATCGCTATGTGGATTCGTCGTTAAACGAATTGCTCGTTATGCGGGGCACCACTGTATATTTTACATTTAATTTTTTCCCAGACTTTCTTACATTTTTCTCAAAGTATTTATGGGTGTTTGCTCTTCCATACCATAAGAAGGCTTGCCAACCTGCTTGAAGGTCGTGTCCTTCTAGATATAATATTCTTCTGTTTTTTAATTTTATCCATTCCTTGATCCAATTTAAAGCACCTGCTTGATAATAAAAATTCCAATTTGGTAGACCAAATCCTCCCCTTTCTTTTGCATCTTCTAGTAGTTTACATTTCATTCTGGGCTTCTTCTTTTGCCATATAAATTTTGTAACTAAAGTGTTTAACTCTTCAAAGAATTTTTGCTCTAGTTTAATTGGTAAGTTTTGAAAGAGGAAAATTTCTTTTGGAAGAATGTTCATTTTGATCGTTGAGATTTTACCTAAAAAGGATAGTTGTAATTTCTCCCATCTTGCCAAATCTTGTTTCATCTGCTCAAGAAGTTTCCCATAATTGTTTTCTTTTAATGGGGAACATCTAGTGGTCAAATTAATTCCTAAATAATTTACTTTCTTTGCTATTTGGATTTCTGTATTTGATATAAGTTGGGTCTTTTTTGGGGGGTTAAGTTTTTGGTTAAAAATTTAGGATTTTCTTGGTTCATTTCTAATCCGGCTACATCGCCACATTCCTTTATTTTTTGGAGTTAAATTGGAGCTGTTTCCACTGGGTTCTCCAGAATAAAGACCAGATCATCAGCAAATGCTTGGAGCTTATAGATTTCATCTTTAATCTTTGTTCCTTGTATTTCTTCATTTTTTCTAACTTCTCTATTCAGTATTTCCAGTGAAAGACTAAACAGCAATGGGGAAAGTGGGCATCCTTGTCGTGTACCTTTGTCAATCTCAATTTTGTCTGTTCCTTCTCCATTTACAATTATTTTTGCTACTTGCTTTGTATACATTGCTTTTATCATATTTAGGAAGTTTGATTTTTAATATCAGTCATTTGCATCCCTAAATCTTTCATTTGTACACATGAGCCATCCCTCCTTGTAATTGCTGTAAGCCTGTAAGTAGCATCTCTTGAATACTCTGTTGCCAGTCCTTAAATGTCCCAATATCCCCCTGAGATTGTGTTCTTGTGCACCTCTCTGGGTTCTTTCTTTTCCACATTTTCCATCTTTTGCCGCTATATTGATTCCCCCCCCCTTCTTCTTAGTTTAAGTCAGCTATATTCTTCCTTTTTCTTTAAGGAGTGCTATTTAAGTCTTCTGTCAGCAGATGTCGCTGAAACCTTACTCAGTCTTATTTAAATGTCCAATCCAGGAGAGGGGTGGAGCTTCCATCTGGGTAGAAAGTTCTCATAGTTGCCAAGTCACAACAATAAAAATTTAAAGGACTCACAATGCTTTGTAGTAAATAGGATTTAATGTCAATATTTCAGAAAGTCACAGGAGTTTTATCTTAATCTCCTTTAATGAAGAGGTAAATTCCTCCCTCTTCTTCCTTTTACTCTTCTCTCCTTTTCCAGTCCGAAGTAAGCTTGCTACTTCCATGACAGTAAGATTTTTTAAAAGGTAAAGCCCATTTGCTGACTCTTTATATCGATCTCTTTTTTTGCACAGTTAATTTGGGTCCATGGAGATTTTCCTTACATGCACAAATTGTTTAACTCAGTCTCTGGTTGAGATAGTTCTAATATCCTTTTGCATTCTCTCACTCTTTGCTTGGGGTGTTCCCAGCTCCTTACCAAGATGGCTTCCTCCTCAGTCCATGCACCTCAGATGCGACTTCAGAGGGGGAACCAGCCTTCACTGATCCCATTCCCCACTTTTGTCATCTCTGCTGCTTCAGACGCTGCTTCTCCTAGCCAATCATCCTTTCCCCCCTGAACTTGGGGGGGGGCAGAACCAAGAGGTCGTGGTCAGTTTCAGGAGCTTGCTTGAAACCCGACCAGTTCTTGCCACAACAAAATCCTGTAATAATTAACTTTGGAGATAACCACCAGATTCCCACACAAATGACTAGGTTCCATGAATGTCCCGCAAGCAGATTTCTGTTAGGTAGTTGGATAGAAGTTGAAAAGCTGGTTCTACAGGACTAAATATAAAACTTAGTTATGTATTTTTTTTAAAAAAGTTTCAACTAGTTATGAAACAGCTCTGGGGATTACAGGCAGAATCTTTAACATATCATTTCCAACCAAATAGCATTTGACAAAATAAGCATTCCGACATGCTTGCTGTATTGGAAAATGGAGGAACATATAATTGTTTCGTACAGAAGAATGAGGGTAAATTCCTATAAAGGAAGTTTTACTATAAACCTCCTTTATGGTAGAAATGATGTTACCGAAACTTAAGCAGAATAGACATTGCATCTAAGTATATCAAGCATTCTTTGGCTTTGCAAACTGATGTTGCCAAAGCCATGCTTCCTTTAAACCTTCTCAATACAGTTTGTCTGTGATTACCTTGAGGGCATGTTTGCCATCATGTTGTTTCATGTTGTTATAGATTAAGTCCCTGTCCCTTCAATTTGGTCTCTGAGGATACTCTTTCAGCTTGCCTGGGATCAATGCATTCAGTGATGGTTTTTGAACTCCTAGCCTTTAGCTCCACACCCAGGTTCCCATCTCACTCAACTATCCAGTCAGCTGCAGTTGTTCAGATGCGCTCTAAAGAAAGGGTAGGGATCATTGCCCACCACCAGGGGCTGCAATTCTCCTTAAAAACAAAGTGCAGGATGGTCCTTTTCATTGTTTTGCCCTCCCCCAACCCTCAGAAGAGGAGTTTTATAAAACAGGATGTGGACTTCTAATCACTTCAACTCCTTTTTTTCCCTTTTCTGGATGGTCTATAAACTTGCCCACCCCTGCCCTAAAGGAGCAAAAACCAAGTTAAGTTACCCAGGTCAGTTTATTTTTTTCTCCCTAAATGCTCGTGGGACAGATTTGTATACTTGCCACATTTGTCACTTTTGCATAGTTGGAAGGGCACCATGTATGGTGTGTGTAAGCTACCCAGTAATATAAATCCAGGCTGATCTCTTCCCTTTGTACCATTGGGAAAGAATTAAACTACATGCATCTGTAGGCACACAGGTCTACATGTGAAGCTGTCATAAAATATTTTCCTTTGTGTACACTGTGAAGGGTTACATGGCTACGCAGCACTTTTTCTTCCATGTAAAGATATTAAATTTGGAAGTGACCCCTAGGGTTTAGCACTGACACAAGTATCATCAAGGAAAAAAATTAAATGGTTTCTATTTCAGTGCAGGCATGTAATGATTGGGTACTATAAAAGTGCAAAATGTTATTACTCTAGATATTGATGTCCTCCACAGTGGCAATAATGAAGTTTTCTTTCAAATTTGAATTATGTAACTGGCTTATTTCTTTTCCTTGACTTCCAGGGAAGTTCAGAAGGCAGTGAACACTGCCCAGGGGCTGTTCCAGAGATGGACAGAGCTTCTGCAAGATCCTTCTACAGCTACGAGAGAAGAAATTGACTGGACCACGAATGAGCTAAGGAACAACTTAAGGAGCATTGAGTGGGATCTTGAAGACTTAGATGAAACTATTAATATCCTTTGGGTTCTCAGATCCATGAATCTACATAAGTGATGCAAAAATGTTCTTGACACAGATTCCACAAATAAATAGGCAAGGTTTGGTTATACTTTATGTTGAAGATACTTGTTGAAACCAGGAGATTGATAAGTCTTTCACAATCTCAAGTTATCCTTTAGAAAAAAAATTTTTAAATTTACACAAAGATATTTAATAGCACTCAACTAGCTAAGAATGTCAGAATTGTCCAAATTATAATTCTGAAGTATTTGAATCCTACTTTTCACCTTAGTAAGACTGAAAGGCTGTATAAGAAAAATGCATTGGCAAAAAATAAAATTGTCACATCATAGAGCATGAAACGTTTCCACACTCTTTTGATACAAATTCTAAAAAAGGTCTATAGAAGGTATTCCTTCTGCTCCTCCCCCAATAGAAAAACTCATCATTTTAAGGCCTTCTGAATAATAATTATAAATAGAGTTTCCTTGACTGGCTATTCTCAACGCATTGTTGAAGCAAATCCTCGAAAATTCAACCTTGATGCAACAGAACTGGGTGTAAGAAAAGCCTTCATCACGAGTACACGGCAGGTGGTCAGGGTAATGTATTTAAGTCTCTCGGGAAGGTAATTCCACACTATAGAACAAAATCATAGTTCTTACAGCAAATAAATGTTTAATTCACCATGAGATTAAAAGGAAACATGAGCATATTATGAAAACAGCCACAGCTGAATGAAAACCAAACCTCACATGTGATTGTGAAATGGATATATTTTTGAATTTTCAAAAGCAAGTGAGATACAAAATAGCCCACAGAACATATCTTAATTTTATTAAAACCGGACAGTTTGAACAAGAGCCCATCTGTAAACCTAGTAGTTTATAAGCAGTCAGTCTTACTGCTGGTAGTGTATTGGTTTTATTACTCTATTGTCTTGCTGAGTGTTCTGATGTTTTTGTTACCTATCCTGGGCTTTTATGAAGAGTTGGATGTAACTAGAACAAAAGAAATAAATGGAGTGGGAAAGTTTGAGGTTTCTGTTAAGATATTTTTCGTTCAAATGGCTTGAACTAAATGGAAATAAATAATCACACTTTCAAGATTATTTTCAGATGTAGCTGCACAGCTTGCTCCGTATTCACAAGTGAGGCTGCTGACATTTTCTGTAACAACAATCACTTCCTTGTACCACAGAGCTGAACTCCTGAGAGTTTCAAAAATAATTTGCTGATGATTGCCCATAAGTGAAAAATAATTCCAGCTATTCTAAAAATAATTCACATCTCTGGGTTTTGGTTGTGAGAATCAGAATTCCTAAATGAAGTAAAAAACAAAGCAGTGTTTGGTTTGCAAAGAAAGAAAGAAGGTTAGGTGTGAAATCATTAGAAGAGTGGTCCCCGACCTTTTCTGAACTGTGGATCGGTTGGGTGGGTGGGGGCCATGTGTGGGGGGGCAC